GCGGCGGCGGCCGGGGGAGGGGACAGCCCGGGCGTGCGGGCGGGCGGGAGTGGGGACGCCTTCCCTCCCTCCCCGCCCACGCGGAACCGGGCTCGGGGACCCCAGCGTTTGCACCTGTAGCCGCAGGTAAGCGGGAGCGGCTGCGGGTCCGGGGCGCCGCCAGGGTTCGGCCGGGGGCGGGGGTAACCGAGATGGGGGCGCCTGCACGGCGGCCACGAGGGGCGGTGCGGCGTGGGGAGCTCAGCCTTTGCGGGTTCCGGATCGTGAGAAACGCCCCCTCCCTTCCCCCACTGCATTTGGGGCTACCGCATGGGCTGCCCCAGCCCAAATGTAGCAGGCGGGCGCCCCCTCCCCCAGCCCAGGAAAGTCATGACCTTCCGGGGGTGCGCACCCTTCCCCACGCACACTCTGCGGTGCTGGTGTCGATCGCACGCTGGGGAGGGGGTCGCGCGTGTGCGTGGCTGCGGGAATTGGCGTTGCCCCAAGGCAGGGGCGGGTGTTTTGGGGGACTCATGTCCCCATCGCTATTTGGAGGTGGGTGTGTGCGCCGGTACGTGCCAGGCTGCGCACTCGTGCTCCCCCGTGTTTTGTGGGGCTCGAGGTCAAGGAGGGGTCACGCGCTCGTCTACTACCGGGGCCATCGGCCCAGGGGGCAGGGACCTGACCCGCCCCGCTTGGTCCCTGCGGGCTCAGCCCCGCCCTCCGAGGGTCGGATTGGGGGTCAGGACAGCTGCAGCAGAGGAGCGAACCCCAGGGCTGGAGAGCGGAGAGAGGGCGTGCACAGTGCGCGCCGCGGCGGCGGGAAAGAGCTGTGTGTGTGGGAGCCCCCTCCCCATTTCTGAGAGCCCTATCCGGAGGGACTGTTGCCTTCCATCTTTCCTGAGATCCCGCACCTTTGAGGGGCTCCCCCGGGTGTCTTCCCTGCCAGCGGGTGTCCCCACAGGGTGCCCTCCCAGCCCCGTCTTCCCTGACTCCTTCCCGAGTGTGGGGCAGGACCGCGCCTTGCTGCGGCTGTGGCCGGCCAGACCTCCTGAGGGGCCTTCTGGTTTTGGGAGTTCCCTGGGAGCGGGTGCAGGGAGCAGAGAGCAGGGCCAGGGCTGCGAGTCCCCAGGGCTGCTCGGTTTTATTCCTCCCCACTGAGTAGTAGTTGAGAGCCTGCTCCGAACCAGGCACGGGCTGGGCGGGCAGCAGGAACCCACAAGCAGGAAGTTGAGCTGGAGAGACAGGAGTGTCCCCCTTTGACAGTAGGGGCAGGGCACCCTGGGAGAGAGGAGCGGCAAGCCTCCCCAGTGGCCTCTTCCCTGCAGCTCCTGCTTTGGGGACAGGGAGTTGCCAGGAGACCATGTGCCTGATTCCTGGGGGGCCAGTGTGGAAGTGGTTTGCCTTCCCCACTTTTGTGACTGAGGAGAGAGGGCTGAGCCAGAGGCCCTAGGATTTTTTTTTTTTCTTCCTGTACCGGGAATCGAACTCACGAGGTTGCGCTTGCCAGGCAGGCGCTGTGCCACTGAGCTAAATCCCCAGCCCCTGAGGCCTCAGGATTTTGATCGCAGTGTCCCTCGTATGTCCACGTTCCACAAGCGCTCATGCAGCGTCTCTTCCATCTGTGTCTTTCCCTGGGGCTTGATGGACCTTTGTTGTGACACTGATGCCACCCCATCTTCCCTCTTGGGCTCTGTTTGTGACCGGTCCCTTCCGGGTGACCGGCCCATGCATGTGCACAGGCTTGGGACTCTGGGGCAGGCCCACGTGGAGGGGCCAGCTGGGGTGACTGTATCCAGGCCCTGCTTGTGTCCCCCTCCCGGGGGGATCCGGTCGCTTGCACGGGGTACCGTGAACTCACTGTGCTGACCTTGAGGGAGGGGTATCTTCGGCCTCTTTGGATCCAAGGAGTCACCTCCTTGACACATGACATGTAGGACACCCTAGGCCTGGGACAGCAGGGGTGGCTGCAGGCGCCCTGCCCCAACTAGGAGGAGGAAGGAGAGGAAGGGCTTTTCCCTGAGGCCTCAAGTGTGCGCTGTGCGCCGTTCTGAGCGTGCCCTGCAGCTGATTATTCAGGTGCCCGACACTGGGGCATGTTACGGGTGGGTGGGAGCAGTGCCCGGGTCTCTGTTCCGGGCCTGGGGGCAGTGCCCTTCAGAGCACACCCATGTGCGAGTCAGGCCCTGCTGTGGGTATGCATGGGACACTGGTGTCCCTGTGTGTCTCTGGGTTTCTGGGGCTGTTAGTGACGCCGTCTCTGCAGCTGGCTGTGTTGTGTGGCCGTGGCTCTGCCCATGATGTCCTCACCCGAGGATGGGTGCGAGCGTGTGCCACTCTGCGGGGAGCCGGGGGCGTCCTGTGCTGCCCGTGCCCTGTAAGCTGGCAGAAGCAGGTGAGGGCGCAGGGTCCTCTCCGCAGAGGTGACTCCCATCAAAACCTTTCAGTGGCCTCGGCCTGGCTCTGCCCACCCCCGTGTGTCCACTCCCTCTGCTACCCTCCCCTTCCAAGGCCACCCACAGCCATCGCTGGAGCCCCTTGGCACCCCCTGACACCCCTGGGGGTGGCCTCCGTCCGCAGATGACTCCAGCCTTGGCTCGGGTGCAGACTTCCTCGTCTCCTTTTGCCTTGTATGTGGCAGTTTCTTCATGTTTTGGATCCGGTGCTCGGTGGAGGCATGTGGATTGTGGCTCTGGTGGGGGCAGCCCTGGCGGGCGAGCTGCTTTATCTCAGCCCCTGCCCTGTGCCACCCCCACCCTAAGGGCAAAGCCTCCACCCTCAGTGCCCCCCACTTGGCCCCTTTCTACCTGCCCTGCCATGAAAATGTTTGGTGGCACAGGACCCACTAACGTGGCATCCTCCCGCCAGGAACCCCTGACGTCTCTGTCCTCTGCCAGGGGCTCTGAGGCCTGGGGAATCTTGTTTGCTGGTGCCAGGCACCCCAGAGCTGAGCCATCTGCTGCCTCTGTCCTCCTGCTGAGGCTGGCACCGGTCAGCAGGGTGCCCTCAGCTTTGCCAAGAACCAGCCTGGCCTTGGGGCTGCCCCTATTTTATCCCTGGCCATCTGGAAGGGCCTGCTGGTCTCGAGGGAATGCAGGGCAACCCCAGGTTACCGAGCATGAGGCCCTGACCCCCGCTCCTAGGGCTATGTGGAGGGCACAGGGTCGCTCTGTGACAGCTCTCCCGCTGCAGGGCGCTGGGCCTGACACTCCCTGGCTCCCATTGCTGCCCACAGCTCCCACCTCTTGTCCAGTGCCGGGGGTGTCGCTGTCCACTTCCACCTACAATCCAGGCCCATCCTACCATGCAGGCCCGTCTTCCACCCTGCCTGCCCCAGGCCTGTGGGGTCCCATTCTCATCCACTTACCTGCTCTCTGCCTGCCCCGCCCCACCAAACCTCCTCGGACTCTGGACTCTGGACTCCGGCTCAGCCCCCTGCAAAGCCGGCCTCCTCCTCCCAGGCTGCGCCACCCCAGCTGGACTAGGGCATTGGTCACAGCCTCCCCATGCTGTGCCCTCTGCTGAGTGCACCTTTCCTCCATCCCCAACCACTTATTCTCCAAGACCCAGCTCGGATGCCACCCTTTTAGGGAAATTTCCCCGGCCTGCCATAGCGAGATGCCATCACCTCTGACTGCACAACCTTGACGTATCGTTGTCCTCTTTTGACTCTTGCTCGTTCCCTGCCTCGTGGTCCTCTGTGCCCGTTCCTACCTGTGGCTTTCTGGGGACAGTTCTTGTTAGCTAGAATTTGGCTGTCCACATCTGGAATATTCTCTCCTGCTCCCACTGGTAGGCTTAGAACCTGACCATCCTGGGGACACCCCGGTGACCAGGTCTCAGTAGAGAGCGGGAAGTCCCAGGCGCTGCTTCCTTCCTGCTCCTGGGAGGGTGGAGGGCCCACGAGCCAGGGCTGAGCGCCAAGCTCTGAGGGTCTCTGCCCCACCCTACCCTCTCCTGGCCCCCTCATAACCATCTCTTCTCTTATTTCCATCAGCAGCCAAACTACTGGAGTTTCAAGGTCAGTGTGAGATGCTTCTGCTGCCATGGCAACTGCATGTGTCCCCTCCCCACCTCCCTTGCACATGCTTGGCACTGGGGTGCGCGTCTGCACGGGCCCCCCAGGTGCGGGCGGTGGGCCTTGGGCTGCAGGCTGTGGCTGCTGCTTTGGGAGTCTGGGCTCCCTGCCGGGGCTTGGGACCCAGAGGGGAAGTTTGGGCCACCCCTGCTGGAGATCTGGGTTGGAGATGCTCTGTCCCTAAGTTTCTGCAGCCCCCGGCGGGCGTTTTGGAGCAAGAAGGCTGCCTGACGTTTCCCCTAGCTAGAGAGACTGCTGGTTCTGAGGCAGGGGCTGGGCCTCCGTGGGGGACTTGCGCAGTGCCAGGCAAGACACATTCATGGCCCTGTACCCTAAACCTTCTGGCCAGGGCTGGGGATGTCCTCCCTCCTTGAGAGAGCTCGGATTGCCCAGCGCCGGGTGCTGTCTGCCCCTCTTGGGCATCTCGCCCGTCCTCCTCATGCCCTGGGCTCAGAGTTGGGTAGAACAAGTTCAACTGCTGCTTGTCTCCTGGAGCCTGCAGCTCTGGGGTCCCAGGCATCATGACAGGGTGGGCCCCCTCCAGGCGCTACGTGTCTTGTTTGCACACATGCTCCAGAGCACTCGTGAGTCAGGGAATCACAGTCATAGGATCCAGGGTCAGGCGCAGCCTCTTGGGAGGACGGAGGAGCTATGTGGTAGTGGTTAACTGCGGGGGTCTGAGAGCCCGACTGTGTGGTGGCAAAGTCCAGCCTCTGCCAAGTAGCGGGGTAACTTGGGGAAACTTCCATAATCTCGGAATGGCCTCAGTTTCCATCTGTAAAGTGGAACAACGCCTGCACTGTAGAGTTGTTGTAAAGATAGGAGAAAAGGCTTGCCTGAAGCTTGCAGGGAGCCTCATGTGAGCTCCCCCATCAGCTGTCAGAATCAGGGTGCTGACAGGGTTCTAAAACCAGTCACCGAGGCAACTTGTAAAAATTCTTGGACCCCAGGTTTCAACCTGCAGACTTTTACCTCAGTGAGTGTGGGGTGGTTTTTTTTGTTTTTTTTTTTTTTGTCTTTTTGAGACAAGGTCTCAATGTGTAGTTCAGGCTGGCCTTGATCTCACTTTGTAGCCCAGGGTGGTATGGAACTTGCAAGAATCCTCCTGCCTCAGCCTCCCAAGTGCTGGATTACAGGCATGCACCACCACGCCTGGCCTAATGTGGGGTGTTTTTCCAAGCTCCCAAGTGCCTTCCCCAGCCCCAGCCTGCAGCCAGCCTTTGGGACCTTCAGGACCTGGTGCTACCACCTCAACCATGGTCCCCTCTGCCTGGCCTCGAGCCAAGGATCACTGGTCTTTCCTGGAATACCTGTGACCATGTTCACCGACTCCACGCAGCCCGCCTGTCTCTGGAGAGCTCTTCTAGGGGCCCACGTCCAAGTTGGCCTCTTCTGCTTCACCCTACCGTGCCCGGTCCTCTGACCCGCTCCTCACTTTCATTCACCGCCCAGCCCTGTGGCCGCCGGCCATCCTTCATCCTTGCTAGCTGCCTAATTCACCAGCCTGGCAACCACTGACCTTTCAGTTGCCTGGCAACGCTGGGACCACCAGCCCTACTCTGGTTGCCCACAGTGCCACGGGGCTTGCTGCCTTTCACAGGGCTCACCGTAAGAGACAGGGGGTGGGGGTGGGGGGCGCTGCTGGGCGTGGTGGCGCACGCCTGTCATCCTAGCACTCAGGAAGCTGAGGCAGGAGGAGTGTTGTGAATTTGAGGCCAGCCTGCACTACATAGTGAGACTCTGTCTCAAAAAAAAACAACAAAAAAAAGGAGGTCTGCTTCCTATGCTGTCCCCTCTTTTCAAGACCCCTGCTACCCACTTGCAGAGCACTGTGCTTGAGGCTAGAAGACCCGTGATGACCCCAACTCTGACCTTCTGTGTCCCCAGGCCCTCAAGGCCACCTTGGGGACAGCTGGGCATAATGCCAACTGAAGAAAGATGGTCTCTCTTTTCAAGAGTGCTAGTCCAGTTGGAACATTAAATTGAGTTAATAGGAAGATAGAGATTAATTACGGTTAATCAGGATTTGGGGAAATAGAGAGCTGAAGAGGAAAATAAATTATTCCTTTTTAGAGGTACTTTTTTATTGCCGTCTTTTTTAAATTATAAAAGTAATATATTCTGATTGTGGCCAGTTCACTCAATTTTGTAGAGAAATGTATAAAGTTAAAAATGAAAGCTCTCTCAGCTCAGAGCTAGCCCATGTTAATGGTTTGGAGTGATTTGTTGTTAAAAATAGACCATTTATTTTACAGAAAAATACAATTGGGCAACATGATTCCTTTTTTATTTTTTATTTATTTATTTTTTAGACAGGGTCTCTCTGTGTAGTCCAGGCTGCCCTTGAAGTCACTGTGTAGCCCATACTGGCCTCGAACTAGTGGTTATCCTCCTGCCTCAGCCTTTGGAATGCTGGGGTTACGGGCATGTGCCACCATGCCTGGTGTGACATTATCTTTGTGACAATAAATGTATATATAATACATAAATGGATTTGATGTATATAACATGGAATGATGTAGATCTCATTCATTATCTTATTCCCTTAAATAAATGTCTAGCAAGATAGAGCACTGAGCTGTCCTGGGACACCCTTCCTCCACCTAACCAGATCTCACCCTCAGCTGTACCCTCAGGGAAGGGGTGTTGTGCTGGGGCCTGGCTGGCCGGCTGTGTGGCAGCTTGTGCCTGGCAGGGAAGGCCCAGAGCCTGGCATCACATGCATGCCATGTGCTCCTGTGTACCACGCCGGGCTCCGCATGTGCACGGGCTAGGCAGGTAGTCTGCTGCCTCCGGGGGTCTGGGATGGTTGTCCCTGTCACTCTACATCAAGGACACTGTCCGTGCCAGATGCCAGCTCCAGGAGGCCCACATCTCCCAACACCAGGACCCCAGGGTTCCTTGCTTTCTTTGCTTTCTCCCTGGGCCCGTTTTCCTGCTCCCCACCCCAACACTCTGAATAAATTCGCCGCTCATAAACCCGCCGCTTAATTAATGTCTGGAACTAATGCCCCAATTTGCTCAACGATTCTGCTGCTCACCTCGGTGACAAATTTGTGTTGGTGTTGTTCTTTGGAAGCTTAAAATAGCAGGCGTGCCCATGGCTCCCGCTCAGATGGTTTCTTGACTGTCTTCCCAGGGCGCCCGAGTCCTTTGCCCAGTGCTAACCTGCTGGGTGTCCCGGGGAGGCCAAGGCCCCAAGAGGTGGGGGGACCGCCCTACAGGCGCACAGCGAGTCCGAATGCAGGAGTCTCTCCTGGGAGTGTGTGTGTGTGAGCGTCGCTGGCTGGCTGGCTTCCTGTTAGCTGGCGCTGGCTGAGCAAAGTAGAGCTGAGGCTTGGCTTCTCTCGCTCTGCCCTGCCCTGCAGACCCGCAGCTCGCGCCACACTCAGGGAGCCCAGCCGGGGCTGGCAGACCAGGCAGCCAAGCTGTCCTACGCCTCGGCTGAGTCACTGGAGACCATGTCGGAGGCCGAGCTACCCCTGGGCTTCAGCAGGATGAACCGCTTCCGCCAGAGCCTGCCCCTCTCCCGCTCTGCCAGTCAGACCAAGCTGCGCTCGCCAGGTACTGCCCAACCTGTGCGTCCCCGCCTCCGCCAAGGCTCCGCCTCCGCGTCTCCCCCAGCCCGGCCCCTGCGCCTCCCTCTGCCCCAGCTCAGATCTCCCCGCCCCTGGAAACCTCCTCCCATCCCTCTGTCCCTGGCTATCCCTTCCCCATCCCTTTCTCTCTGCCCTCTCTCTTTAACACTTCCTCCTTTTCTCTGAGGCTCCAGGACTCGCTTCTGTAACTCTGCCCCCTCTGGCTCCTTGGCACTCTCTGTCTTTCTCGGACCCTGCTGGTTCTGCCCGATCCAATCCTGCGGCCCGGTCTTGGCTTTAGCAGCCTGGGATCGAGTGGGTGCAGGAGCAACCGGCAGCATGCGGAGCGCCTGGGTTCACCTTCACTCGGGGGCGGCGTCGGGCCTCAGACCCTGCCGCTGTGGGACCGGAGCAGCTCCTGAGAGCCCCCCTCGCTCTCCCAGCGGGCGGCGTGGCGGCGGCGGCCGTGACAGCCCGCATGGTGTGTCCTTCGCAGGGGTGCTGTTCCTGCAGTTCGGGGAGGAGACGCGGCGCGTGCACATCACGCACGAGGTCAGCAGCCTGGACACGCTGCACGCCCTCATCGCACACATGTTCCCGCAGAAGCTCACCATGGGCATGCTCAAGTCGCCCAACACCGCCATCCTCATCAAGGACGAGGCGCGCAACGTCTTCTACGAGCTGGAGGACGTCCGGTGGGCGCGGCGCGGGGGATGGGCGGGCGTCCCACGCTCCTCCAACCGCAGCCCCTTCCCTAGCTCCTTCCGAACCCCCTCCCTCTCCGCCCTTCCCCTTCCTTCCCGCTCCTAACCGCCCCCCTTGCTGGTTCCCACTGGCCCAGGTTAACTATAAAACAGGCTGAGGCGGAGGGCTGCTGTGTGTAGAGGTAGCAGCAACCCAAAGGATTTAGGAAGGGCTTGGGGGGTCTGGTTCCTCGTGCCACCCATGTCTCTGCCTGGAGCAGCTGCTCCTCCACATGGTGCAGTCTGGGGGACACGCGGTGACCCTCTGCATCCCTCCCCAGGGACATCCAAGACCGCAGTATTATCAAGATCTACCGGAAGGAGCCGCTGTATGCTGCCTTCCCTGGATCCCACCTCACCAACGGGGACCTCCGGGTACAGCCGGGGATGCCCGGGGCACAGGGGAGCCTGAGTGGGTGGGTGCAGGCAGGCGGGGTGCAGGCGGATGTTGGGGACCAGGAGAAGGGAGATGGGGAATCGAGGCGGAGGGCAGCCCCCGCTAACTGCAGGGTCCTGGAGGAGCCCTCCCTGTTCCCCTACGCCCCTCCCGGAAGTTCCTTAGCAAGCCTCTCCTCGAGCCGCCCCCTTCTTGCCCACCTCACCATGATCCAGCTGCCACTGTCCCCCATGCCAGGAACTCTGATGGGAAGGGGCTCAAGATGTGACAGAGAACAGAAGGGACTTCCTGGGAGGGAGGGTCGTGCCAGCAAAGGGCAGGGACCCTTTTGTGACCCGCCCGTGGGGTGCTGGGCTGTCTTCCGCGCAGAGGGAGATGGTGTACGCGTCGCGGGAGTCGTCGCCCACGCGGCGTCTCAACAACCTGTCGCCGGCCCCGCACCTGGCGTCCGGCTCGCCGCCCCCCGGGCTCCCGTCCGGGCTGCCGTCCGGGTCCCCGTCGCGCTCGCGCCTGTCCTATG